GTATTTTGAAGATTTCTTCCCCAAAACTTGAGCAAAAGTGAATAGAAAGGTAATATTCGGAATCTACGTTTCAAGGGCTATCCGACCATGTATATTTAAAGAAAATCTATTTTTGTGTGTACCTTTCGAGTTTCTGAATGAAATTGAATTTGATTTTCTGAGAATGAATTTTCTCGGGTTTCATTGAAAAAACAAACCTTTCAAGGGAAAAATTCGGCGTGTCAAAGGGTTACTGTCTTATGACGACCTCTTTTGCTAGCAAAATATAAATATCTAAATACTAGCCAGGCTAGAAAATATGAACCTGCACAACGTGTAAATATACTTTGTGTTCGGATAGTTTAAGTTTTAAAGTGATATAATTGGAATTTATATTCTCGATTTCGTTTGGTTTAGGATTAAAGGCACAAACCTAAACTGTAAAAATCTAAATATCTAAGCAGGCAGTAAAATATGAACCTGCAAAAGACAAATATTTCAGTATAATATACTAAGTTTTTGCATTTCGCATTTAAAAAGGCAAAAAAATGCAACTTTTATTTTCAAAATGCGTAAAACAACTCTTAGAGATGCAGATTCTTCTCTTCTTGAATTCTGAAATGTAAAATCAGTTTCTTTTGCATTTCAGAGTGCAAACTGCCAAGAAAAGCCGAAATTGCAGGTTGCATTTTTCTAAAAGGACAGTGCAACATGTGCAACTTAGTCATTATGTGTAAGAATATTATTTGTCAACCATTCATCTTTGCTTTCACTCTTAAAACAGCAACGAAAACTAAGTTTTTGATATAAAAAGATGCGTAGAAATGTATATCTCTTATCATCATTCCTCACTTACCTTGAGTAGCAAAGATGAATAGTTGACAAATAATATTCTTATCTTTAGATTTCAGCGCAAGCACACACACCTTTTATTTTATGGAGAAAATCATCTGAAAGTAAGAAGCATAATATCATTACTTTGAGTACAATGACATAACTGACAGTTATAGGTCATGTACGTGGTAAAGTTTTGCGCAGTTCTTCTTTTCATTGTGACACAAAGTCTTGCAGCACTATACAAGTCACCAAATAGTTGTAGTTATGATGTAAGAAATCACGCGTCCATATAGATAATAGACACATAAGTAGACACATAGTTATGTTTTAGTCATGCAACTTGGGTAAATCTGATAAACTCAATGTTCATATCGTCGCTCATACACACGACGACGTTGGTTGGCTAAAAACAGTTGATCAGTATTACTATGGATGTGAGTTATGATTTGGCCTACACGATAAACTCTCAAAAAAAGTCGTAGATTAATAAACTACAATAAAACAGTTTTATTGTAGTTTATTGATCTACGACTTTTTTTTAGATTGTAACCATGAATAATTTTATGAATTGATCTTTTAACACGTAGTGAAATCGGTAAACGGGGTGTTCAATATATTCCCGACTCAGTTGTGCAGGCATTAGTGGAAAATCCCGATCGTCGATATATCTATGTTGAAATGGCTTTTTTTTGGCGTTGGTGGAATGAACAATCGGACGACATGCGCAACACAGTGAAGCAACTCGTCAACGAGGGTTCGTACCAGTCGAATTTGTATCGGTTATACAACCGTTTTTGAAGAGTCGAAGAACATATGTTCAAGAAAAAAACATCAGCGAGCAAATAGCAATGAGGCAAACACAAAATAGAATGCCGGTAAAAAAAAGAAAAACTTTCTGTTCGAAATGCAGAAATAAATAAGATGGATTGTTTCTCTGGCGATTAGTTATCCTTGAAAAACAACTATGGTCTGCAAGAGAGTTTTCACTCGTCGTATTTTGTATTAGTATACTGAGGCTAAAGAACACTTGTGAGTTTAGCCCCAAATGGCTGCACTGGCAAGCTTTTCTACTAGAAACATGTATCCAAATCTGTATAGGTCGTCTGGAATTTATCTTGGGCGGTTGGTCCATGAATGATGAAGCTACAACACATTACAATTCGATTATTGATCAACATATCTTAGGTGCCGAATTCTTGCGTGACACATTTGGCGAGTGTGCTCGACCAAAAATTGGCTGACAAATCGATCCATTCGGTCATTCGCGAGAAGTTGCTTCACTCTTTGCACAGGTTGCATCTGTTCGAGGAGCTCATATTCGATATAGATATCATTTCTCCGCAGATGGGCTTTGATGGTCTATTTTTTGGACGTGTTGACTACCAAGATCGGATACCTCGCACTTTGGAGAAGACCTTGGAAATGGTCTGGAAAGCAAGTGCCAACTTAGGTTAGTGTCCTTTCGAGTATTTGAATCCGATCAGATTTCTTCTGGGAAATGCGAATCTACGACGAACTATTGAATCTAAATCTTCAAAGTTTCACATTCAGATGTTCGTAGATCGTCAGAGTTGGCTTTTCACGGGTATCCTGCCACATGGTTACAGTGGGCCGATTTCGTTTTGTTTTGACTTGCTGTGTTCAGATCAGCCGATTATGGTGTGTCATTGTTTATCAACTCTCTATTCTCTCTATAAATTGAACGATTCTAGGATGATAAAAGTTTGCACGACTACAATGTACGGGAACGTGTCGAAGCATTCATCAGAGCGGCACATGTTCAAGTTAGCTCAATCACCTCACAGACATTCTTGAAAGACGATTTTCTCGCTAAGTTTGTTTTTATCTATTGTAGGCTCCCATCTACGCAACCAGTCATATCATCATGACGATGGACGATGATTTTGAGGATCAGAATGCCAATGAGAAATTCAAAAATTTGGACAAATTAATCCATTATGTTAACCTTGAGGCATGTCATTTTCATATATTTGATTGACTTTATCCGAGATCATATCATCAGCAAGAGAATGGTAGCAATGTCAATGTCTTTTATTCAACACCGTTATGCTATTTGTATGTCTTGAATAAAGCTGAAAAAGAATGGACATCGAAAACCGATGATTTCTTTCCATATGCCAGTATTCCATTTGCATACTGGACCGGCTATTATACTTCAAGACCAGCGTTAAAACGTTATGAACGTTATACAAATAATATTCTTCAAGTAACTCGTCAACTCAATGGATTTTCACTTAAGAATCTACGAAATACCATTTTCGATTTGAGTAAGAGAAATGTGCATTCTTTTCATCTATCCATCGGCATTCGTACTACACAGGTGATTTTGTATAGTAAATTGACTACAATTTTGTTTACAGCACTGCAAAGAAATTTGAGTCTACAAATTAATTTACATTGATTTCCAACTTATAGTTTTAGCAACTTAATAATGATTCAGGAATAATGATCAAGGCTTTTTCTAATACCACAAAAATTACTTTTTTGTGGGTAGATTGATATAGTAATTGAAAATATTTTCAAAGAAAATATTGTAACATGATTCTATAGAACGATCCGAGTCTGAATCCATATTATTCATTTGCTAACTGAATTTTGGATTAAAGTTTCTACATTCGAACTGACAAACAGTAGTAAGTCATTTGATTTGCCGCATATTGCTTGCGTTTTTTTGTGTATTGTAGTTGTTTACTTAGCTATACAATAATGGCACTCTTTCACTTTTTAACGCTTTTTGTGTAAGTACAAGGTTTCAGCTAACAAATTGTTTGAACTTAGTCCACTATTTTATACGCATTTTTAGAATGTTACATTGGTGTAGAGCAGGTAAACGCACGATGTTTCACTCATTTCAATAATACGAATAATTATTGAGATAGCGTGCTTTACCCAGAACATCAAGCGAGATCTTTCTACAATCTCAGATTTGCAAAATAATGGGTACTAGGCAGTTTTCATCGTAGCGACGATCTCTTTCCGATGGTAGGAAGGATTAATACCTGTGGATTTTGTATTTCATTCTTAGAGGTGTACACAGTTGTATAATGGTTTCCGGAATAATCACACAAAAATATCGTCGAAATAAGTTTAATAAAAGGTGAAAAGAAGATTTCAGAACAAAGCCTAAAGTGGATAGATAGGTTTCTTAACAAAACAACGGACAGAGACTACTTCTACCTAGGATTAGCTATCGGCTGATTTAGTGCGATTCTTATACTGTTTCAAGAAGATTTCAGAACAAGCCAAGGATAGATATAACAATGTTTACGTCGCCGATAACAAAAATAGTCGTACTGTTCGTTGGGCTGATGAATACCACTGAAAATATGGGTGATTTTACGCCTGTTTCCTTCCAGACTCTGCTAGTACTTGCTCTATCAAAGTGTACATGCAGGACACGATCGATGGGTGGACACACGAAAATATGAAATTTCTCTTCATTCTTCAACACTGTTCAACTACTGTTCTGGATAATGCGAAAATTGTGAGTGAATCTCTAACGATTATTAGTAAAGAAACGTCCTTCTCACTATTCAGACCCTAACTGATTAAGCTTTGGCTCTTCTTTCTACTTTACGTATTTATTCTCATACTGTGGTGTCTGTGGCAGCTAGACTTTAGTCGCAGTGAACAGGCACGAGCCTTACGTCTAGTCCCTATTTCAAGCTTGGATGACACGAGAACCACCTAGTCACGGTCATGGCTAATTTAGCACTTCGATGAGACTACTACGTCATCGAATTTGACACACATTTTAGCAAGCTAGTAAGAAAAACGACAAAATAGTTGACAAAATTGTAGTCTAACCGTAAATATTCCCGCCATCGACTTAACCTGTCCTTGGACTGCAATAACATCTTACCATTTTTATCTTGAATGGAAGTGTTATCCATGTTTTTGTTTCTTCCTCGTAATCGCCTTATCATAGCATAAGCTGTCGCTGGATCATGTTGTTTTATAGCATTTCAATTTCACAACTAATTTCGTCCGAATACTCGAATTGTCGAGCTTCAATTTTTCTTTTCGCCAGTTTCGCGAGTGTATGCCCGATATTTCGACCTATACTTTTGTTCATTATGTTTTCCAAGACGGTTTTGCCAGTGGAGATAGGCTTCTGATTTTTTGTTTACCATGTCAAGAATTTCATCCGTTAGCCACTCCTTTCACTTTTTAGCATTGTTTTCTTGCTGAAAATATCTGGTTCCCAATTCACGTACGTGCTCAACAAACTGTGAATACTTTTCATCAATGGTCATTTCGTCATCATACACTTCATTCTTCTTCCGCTCAATGTCCCGTTTGAAACCATCCCGTAGTGTATCATTGCGAAGCTTTTGATAATCGAGCTTCAATCGTTTTTGTTGTTGATTTTTCGTTCGACTTTTCAAGTGAATTTTTAGCTTTGCTCGGAGGAGATGATGATCTGCTCCAATAAATCCGGCTGCTCGTCGATGAGCCCTGACACCGTGCACACTTGTACAAAATTTCCAATTTACCAAAATATAATCCAATAAGTGCCAACGTTTGTTACCTGGATGCATCCAGCTGGCTTGGTGCACAGGTTTATGCTGAAAGAAAGTGTTGGTCACTATCAAATTGTTTAGAGAGCAAAAGTCGACTAAAAGTTGACCATTCTCGTTTTGTTGATCTATTGTGTGCTTTCCAATTACATCACCGGCCGTTTGAGACTGTTGTAAGCCAACTCGAGCATTGAAATCTCCCATAAGTAGAACTATATCACGTCTCGACACCTTATCCATGGTCTCCTGTAAGCATTTGTAAAATTCAATTGAAGCTGCACTTTGAGCCTTTTGCTCATCTGATGGATTCACTGGTGCATACACTGCTAACACTGTGATATTGATAGGTTTACATCCAAGACGAACCATAATTATCCTATCACTGATAGCTTCCCATTCAGATCCCGAATCTGTCCACACTTTTGCGGCTTGTTTGTTTAAGCACACCGCTACTCCATGAGCTGAGCGTGTCTTATTGTCACCTGATGCACCAGAATGAATGATGGTAAAATCGTCAATTGTTGATATTCCTGAGTCATTCATAGCCGTTTCGCTCAAAGCTGCCACTTGAACTCGGTATTTTTGCAGTTGTTCCACTATTAATTCACGTTTTGCTTGTCGAAAACACGAGCGAACATTCTATCCACCGATAAAGGTAGTTTTACGTAGGTTCACACTTTTTCGATCTTTTTCCATAGCCTTCACAAGTTTAATGTCCTTTAAATAGGGGGCTAGCCTAGAAATAAGACGGGTTGGCTACCGGCAGCCCAGGGGCGCCTCCCGCTACCGCAAGCGGCAACCGGACCCTGTAGATATTTCGAAAAACATCCCCGGCATACAGAGCCTTCGCACCAGGGAAGTTCTCTAAGTGCTTCCTGACCTTTTCCTCACAAACAGGTATGGCTATAGGTGGCTCTTGTTGCTGACTATGAGTCTAATATTCACTTATGCTCGTGCGGCCTTTTGAGAAAGATGTTTGGAATACTATAGGTTTTTGAAGATTGCTAAAAGCCGAAGGTAAAGACATTTCGATTTAACTCTGTTGTATGACACGTTCATTTACTTGTATGAGAAAAGCCTCACACCTATAGACTGAGTTTTAACCAAACTCACTACGTCAGTTTAAAAGCTTTTTCAGACTGATCTGTGACATGGAGGAACAATATGCACCTAGCTCACATATATCTTCTGCTCCTGTGATAATATACCATTTTAGTCGCATTTCTCTCGAAGAAGGACTGCTATACTTTTCTTCAACGCAGAAGAATTCTCAAGGGGGACAAAGCGGAATGGGCCATTCCATCCCATTTTTTACAATTTTTCCCATTCTCCACTTTTGACAGACTTATACAGTATCGATTGTGTATTTTGAGGAACAATGTGTTTGTGCACAAAATTTATCTGTGCAAGAGTAACTGCTTTAATGGGGGTCTTTCCAATACAAGAAAAATTAGGGTACAGCTTACTGAAATGACGATTTCAAGCTGAGTCTCGAGGTTCTCAGACATGCTGATTCTAATGGCGATGTCAGTCTGCCTTAGTTATGACTTTCATAATGGATTTCTAGAAAACTGAGCTTTTGAGGCAGAGGGCTTTCGGAGATATTACTGAAGCGGTTGCTATAGCATACATATAGTCATGTGGCAGTGTGACGGACGTACATACATATGGTGGGTGTCTAACCATTTAGACTCGATATCAGATCCAGTTATCTGTGATGGAGCAACATGGAATACTCAATCACGCACAGTTGCTGGTGGGAATGGCAGGGGGTGGCGCACAAATCAGTTGAACGACCCCTATGATTTTTTTGTTGATGAATATGACAATGTTTACGTCGCCGATACATTCAATCATCGTATCATTCGTTGGACTCCAAATGCAACAGAAGGAGAGATAGTAGCTGGTAATGGTCAGGGTGATGCATTAGATCAACTCAATTATCCAAAAAAAATTTTCGTGTCGTCTGATGGAGACATCTATGTCGTCGCCGAAGATTCTTCTAGTGGGTATGATGGTTTAAGAAAGTGGTCACGTGGGGCAACATCAGGTGAAGTTATCGATCATAGCGTCATTTTAGGCCGTGAAAGTGAAATGGCCGTAATACTCCAACGAAGTGGTAAAGGTAATGGAATGGACCAGTTCGTAGGTATTGTTGATATTATTGAAAAAGATGGTTATATTTATGTATCGGATATGAATAATAATCGTGTTCAGAAGTGGCGTAAAGGTGAATTGTCAGGTAGAACGGTGGCTGGTGGCAATCGAGCACCAGGTGACGCTTTGGATCAATTATACAGCCCGCAAAATATTTTTCTCGATGAGGACGATAATCTTTATGTGGATGATAGCTCCAATGGTCGGCTCATGAAATTCAACAAAGGAACAACAAATGGAACTGTCGTTAATTTGAAATTTCCTGATGGAGAAAAGAAGCTTGACCCCGATGGTTCGTTCTACCATATAGCTTATGGTCAAAGCATTGTAAAAAATGCCATTGATACAAGTGTATGTGGTATGTACAAAGGCATGTTTGAGTTCTTACACTGCATATAGAATACTTTTCCACCTCACCTGATGACATCACAAATGGCTTTTTCAATTTGATCCACTCTGTCCACTGAGAAAGGCCAAATAGAACTCATGTTACTATCCTCGTACAGTTTGTTGAACGACCATAAATCATTGTTTTTTACTCTTCTAATTTAGACTCACGTTCAACAGCACCACCGTTATCGATTGGTGAAAATTTAATTGGTTGATCAGAACGCTCAAAAACCAAGAATTGCTATATCAACGAAGATCATGAGTTAGACTTCTCTCGCTCTTTTGCTCGGATGAATGTTGAGGCTGATTTTCCAGCTAAAGAAATAAATGAACATGAAAACATGTAGCTAATGAAATGATATAGAAGTAAACAAGTAAAGGTAGGTGGTTGGTGCACTGTGGACGTCAAGGCACGTAAATGTATGATAAATAAATATCCTTCGGCGTCTTAGCTCAAAAGCACGAATGACTATTTGACAGAGTTTCGAAACGCATATGGCGATATTTCTCTTCTCCAGCTCTGTCGAAAAGAAAAAATTTTTCTTTGAAATGAGACGTTGCTAAGCTGTGTGTGATTTTCCAGTCAAAAGTTATAATGCAGCTTCTCGTTTTTTCTAGGGCATAAGAGTGCCCAATTTCTGATTTTCGTTTTGTCTCTGAGGGAAATAAACGATTTACTGTGATTCTAGATTATTTTCTAGAGAAACTAAAACGCTGATTCTTTGTTTAATGTTAATGACTATCAAAACAATCACAGAAAAAAATTTCAGCTCAAAATTCGCCGCTTTTATCGAGATCCAAAAACTCTAGTGTTCTTGTACCTGTTTTCCAGCAAAACAAAAATAATTCATAACTCTTTCTTTGATGATTACACGCTATAGTACAAACAAATCCTACCTGCAAAAGTAATTAAATATGAAATGGATGCATCCAGCTGGCTTGGTGCACAGGTTTATGCTGAAAGAAAGTGTTGGTCACTATCAAATTGTTTAGAGAGCAAAAGTCGACTAAAAGTTGACCATTCTCGTTTTGTTGATCTATTGTGTGCTTTCCAATTACATCACCGGCCGTTTGAGACTGTTGTAAGCCAACTCGAGCATTGAAATCTCCCATAAGTAGAACTATATCACGTCTCGACACCTTATCCATGGTCTCCTGTAAGCATTTGTAAAATTCAATTGAAGCTGCACTTTGAGAAACAGATGATTCAAGAGCGATTCATCCATTTTTTCCTGAAATCGTTAAAAGTTAATGCTACTGTACACTATGCTTAATGCAAATCTGAAAAATAATACCGAATAGAAGAAACCTCTTTACATTTACAAAGAACATTACAAGACAGACAAAACATTACAAAGAACGAAAAAAAACGATCGAACAAACATACGGCATTGATAGATCGGAGAAAAAGAAATCAAAAGAATGGAGAATGGTAGAGTACTTTTGTTTCAAAGCAAACATACGAAACCTAATGACTATTGCTGCAGACCGTTCGTACACAAACAACAAATCACAATCAACTACTGCAATAAGGTGTCTGTTTCAGAGACTCTTATTTCTCTTTTGATTTCTTTTTCTCCGATCTATCAATGCCGTATGTTTGTTCGATCGTTTTTTTTCTTTCTTTGTAATGTTTTGTCTGTCTTGTAATGTTCTTTGTAAATGAAAAGAGGTTTCTTCTATTCGGTATTATTTTTCAGATTTGCATTAAGCATAGTGTCCAATAGCATTAACTTTTAACGATTTCAGGAAAAAATGGATGAATCGCTCTTGAATCATCTGTTTCTTCCGTACTACTTGCCTTCGTCTGCAGAAGCTGATTTCTTACTTCAAGAGAATCATGCAAATGAACATAAGTTACTAGACTGTATGAATGAATTTCTGAATTCCATTCGATTGACTTCTTTCACAATGGCATTACCGATCATTGAAATCCTCACTGATTGCATCGAACGTTGGTCGGTTTTACAGAATCCTCAAAACATCTCTGTGTCAAATTTACAATCTGCCTTTGAACAACTACCTCTAGGAAGGTTTCTTCCCCTTTATTTGCATACTCAGAATGCGGCAATTCTGTTCGAAGTAGACGAGAACAACATCCACCAACCATTGATCTCGTCTTGGCAAGTCTTATTACCAATGGAGAAAATTACGTTTGATTTTCTGTCACATGTCTCATATTTTCCAGCAACGACATACAGATTGCACGATCGATCTCAACTGAGCTCCACACCTCATTGTGAGTTGTTAATGAATTTTATGTTCAATACAACAGAGCATCCCAAGTCATCTCGTGCTCTTGATAAGATACGCGACGTACCAGAATCCCATTATGTATGCCAGTGGTGGATTCAACACTTTCACGGAATCAAAATCGAACATAATTCCAATTCATTTGGTCCAGTTAAGAAAAAACATCGCGAACATGTTCGAGGGAACGCTGGATTATTACCTTTTCGGCGTTCTGGTTTATGGATGACGATCAAAGTCATTTTTCATACCATTATTGCCAAACGCTTGGGACAACTTGGCACCGTCGTTTACAAACTATTGATCACGCATTTTCTAACGCATATTATCTACACAAGGCAAACTTCAACAAAGACTAACATATCTACTGATTTATTAGTTTATTGTCTACGGAAGATCGTACGAAGATTGAATAAAATTGATTGTTTACTGCTGGCTATTCATTCCAATAACGTAGATGAATGGGTACAAAATACGAAACAAGAAATTAAAATGAAAATTGATCAAATGTTTCCGAAATCAGATTGGCAAAAGTCTATTCAGATCAATCAGTCAACGAATCACAACTTATTAATGAACAAGTTCAAGCTGAATCATGTTAAGCTTTGTCAGCATTCATTTCTGGAACTGAAATCTTATCTGAGTAGTCAGGATTCGGATAAAACACAGGAACTTTTCTCAGGCACTCATAATTATGATAATTCCACTAACGTAAATCAAGTAGATTACATACCTTCTCTCGAAGTATTAATGAAAAACTTCAGCTATACTATTGATATAGCGTTAACCCGTATAGAAATGTGGGTTGAATCATGTTTGGACCGATGGATCAATCGTCCGAAAGTATCTCCGTATGAACAGAATCGTTTCGAAATTCTGTTACGCTCCTTCGAAGAGTATCAGACTGCAGCACTCAATCATTACTATTCTGAAGAGGGTCAAACAGATCCAATGAGATATAGCCGATTCATCCTAACTTTATTAACAATTATTCATTCCATGCATAAAAAGTTATGCATTGATTCCAGATTTGAACGGTTAAAACTACACTCGATTCATATTTTCAATCTCGAAAGTCTATTCGAATACTTGATATTGCCCAATCGAGAAGATCTGATTAGAGCCCATACTCTCTATAATTATTTTAGCGAATTCAGTAGACAAACGCTTCCTGACTTGTTAATCAACATCACATCTGTTCATGCATTTGGTGTACAGTATGCTGCTCAATCATCGACTATGATAAGCAGTATACAGCAAATTAGAGCTCAAGCTGAATTGGATAAACAGCGAAAAATAGTGGAAGTCAAAGGTGCCAAAGAAAGATATATGCAACTGATGAATTCTATAAGCGGTTATTCTTGTCAATGCCAGTATGACGATCGATATTATCGTTATAAAATATGTTATAGATGCAGCATGGTTCAACAAGCACAAAGTATTGAAGTATCATTTTATGAATGTCCGTTACCGTCCGATCAGAATAATGCATTAGCCGTTATTTTTGAATTACAAATGCCCATTGAAATTAGAAACTATCGAGATATTCTCTGGCAGTTCAATAACCGTCCTACGCCGCATCCATCACACAAGATGAATGAATGGTTGCATTGTTCTCCTCATGCTCACAAGTTAGGACCATTCTATACTGGTCCACAGAACTGCAAAGTGAAATTGATATCCCCCACAAAATCTATCACGGAAACGCTTCATTGGTCTCCATCCATTGCATATGCGTCTGAAAGGGACTTTCTGTACGAAAATAGTCTCGGAGTTGGCATTTCGTCAAGCCAGCCAACTGAATCTGGAGTAGAACGTTGTATATTAACGCCTCAGCTGACACACGCAGATTACAAACAATTGCAATTTACTATCGATACAACGAAGTTTGTTCAAAATAATGTCATCGCCAGATTATTTGATTGTCCACCAAGCTTAAAGCCAACACAGTTTGTAGAATTTGGCTCATTTCGATCAGGACATCGCTTACTATGGTGGAATCTCTTAATGATTTTAGAGATGGATTCTCTGTCCATTGCGGAAGAAAGTGTAGCAATATTGATTATACACTCAATATTACAATCGGTCCATTGACAGCAGATTCAGAGACCACATCTAACCCCTGGTGTCCCGAATCGCATCAACAACTTTTAGAAGACCACTTTGTGGATGAATTTATCTCAAGATTGAATCGTCGTTTAGATGATTGTGAATTAAATTGGCAGAATGAGTTAGTTCTCATCGTTATCACTATGATTACCATGAGAATATTTACTCTTTGTAATTCAACAAAAGAAATTGAAGGTGCTGAGTTGGCACTGAAGTGTCGTCGAATTGGTGAAAAATGGATTGATCTGATTTGCACAAGTATTCAAACAGTACCATCCTCATGTTTTGCTGAAGTAGAAAAACTTCGTTTCAAAATGGTCACGATTGGTTTTACATGTCTGTTAACATTTTCAACTCATCAAGGTCGAATAAAATATTTATTGTCATCCCATAACGATGTTCAATCTTTACTCAAAGCAGCAACAACAGTTCATGATAATAGCATTTTAAACAAGAATCAGGCGATGATGAGTATCTTTCTCAGGAACATGATGCGATTTAGTGAACGTGTCTTGGTAATGTTACAATCCACACTTGCTGAATTCCTACAAAACACATCGTATCAAAGCTTGAATGAATTTGCTACCAGTTACTGGGCTGTCATTCGAAGCAAAGGTACGATGGATGAAAAGTGGAGAAAACGAAGGGAAGATCCTCATGATGGTTGGTACGATAGCCAATATGGATCAAGACATATTTTCATTGATTGTATCCGAGGAACGTTTTTAGTTGATGGTATGACTGTGGGTTTTTTACCGGAAAATATGACTTCCAGTGAATTTCTTGTTCGTGTATTTGATCAGTATATCTTCGAGGTTCAAGCGGCTCAATTACCCAATACCTACATCACGAAAAATTCCTACCATAATGAAAGGGTTTTTTATGAATTCGTTTTCGATTATCCAACCCAACGCTTCATCATTACTGAACGGCATATACAAACAAGTGATGTATTTCAACTGATTCCTCACAGTTGTTTTCAGAAAGAACTGGCAGATACGTTTGTCTCCAACCACAGTCATTGGTTAAACCTGAAGGATCGAACATTACAGTTTCGACCTGTTCAATTTCAAAATTCGAAATTTCTCGATGATATACCTTATATGTTGACATTAGATGCGGGACTTATTACAACTACTGACACAAAGAACATACAAACCTTGATTAACAAATCATCAACTTTTTTTCAAAAATTATTTTCACGATACTTTAGTCGTCTCGACGAGAAACCCTACGTCTACATGATGAGAGAGAATACTTCACAGTGCAAAACGATCATTTATATTTATTTATCTCGTCTACGTATTGCTTTCATCTACAACAATAAAACCCGTAAATTCACATCGCGTGAATATTCCGATATGTGTATTGCAGAAAATCAATGGTTCGGAACATTAACTGGTTTGACATTTGGCCTTCTCTTAACGCCATCATCCGTCCATCATGATACATTAGAACAATATTCATATCGCAAATTGATCGTACCTTTCGGATACGTTGATGCTGCGAAAACTTCGTACTCTAATCAACACATCGTTATGATACGGCGATCACTAACCCCTTTTTCTGATCAATACTTTCTTTTTATTCTCAATGACCGATTAGGCATTCTTCAGTCAACTGCTAGTCCAACCGGATGGCTTTATTTAGCATTGTTACATGCCATTACATCTCATCCTCTGCCTGATCAATATACGGGAGTGACTGGAATGGAACTTGCCTTTCAGTTATTGAACTCAGCTGGTTGTTGGTCTGATCAACCGCTCGATGGTCTATCTTTAAATATACTACAGCAGATTGCTGCCCTCTCTCCAAAAGTTGATTATTATCCAGCAGATGGAGCTTGCATGGAGAAAATTGATTGGAATGATCATGGGTTACCCTATTTTATGCAGAATTTTGGTTATTATTTAATAGCCAGACGAATTATTGATGCTAGTGAACAATTCAATTCCATGTATCCATCCTTGATCTCAAAAACGAAGGGAGAACTATTTAATGGGAAATTATACAATGAAGCATTATTGAATAAATTATATTGGAATTATCGAGATTCGTACAATCCTTCAGCTAGATTATCGGTAGAGATGGAGACTGAAATTTTATCTACTATTTCAAAGACACCGTATCGTTCGGCACCGGAATATGGTTCGCATGTCACGAACTATAGTGAAATTCATCTTTTAGATAATCTATATCGTAGTGGAGATGTAAATCTTAGAGATTGTTCAAAACAACATTGGTTACCGTTGTTTCAGTGGTTGACTAAAGAAAACCAATTAAAAAATGTCTGGATTGGTTTATTAAAAAAGGCTATTAGTCTTGGCACAGAGGGGGCTGGTAATAGCACAGATGACATGCATCGATTCGCAATTCTACTAGATTTTCTTCATTATATTTCTGGCACATGTAGAATCAAACCATTTCATTTGCAAATGCTAAAGACAGTTTGCAAAGTATCTACATTATCGTGGAAAACGATCATATTTCCTCCGTTCATGTATTATTACGACATCGAAGACGTTTCATTTACAAAAGAACGTATCAACCTATTAAACAACTATACCACACGTGAACGGGAGCAAATTATAGAAGAAGTCAGGAGATGTTGGCGAAATAATCTCCAGTATCAAAATATCAATCGTCAAGCAACTTCAACTGAACAAGATCACATCAACCACTTGTTAAAATCATGGCGTTCTAACGAAAAACTTCGGTCTTTTTTGCAAGTTGTTCAAAGTCTTATTTGTTCAATTCCGATAGAACAATTTGACATCAAAGTATCATATCATCCTCAACAATTTGCATGTGAAATTCCACACGATCATCATCAGATCCAATACAAATCTACTAACCACTTTATCGATGCAATCCTATTACAGAAAGCAGAAGAAAAATTTCATCAAACTTACTCAGGTCATTTCAACAAACCAAAATTAGTTTCACAAGGTATCGATCAAGCAAAAGAGTTTCCATATGAAATCTTTTCTTCTCTCAACGAACAAGAGAATACTCTTAGTGCAATAACAAATTATTTTAAAAACCAGTTAGCTGAAAATTGGAGGAAACTTCTGTCCAACGAACAAACTCAGAAAGAAGATCCTTCCATTGAAGAACTCATCGAACTTCTCAATTCTTTTCGAGAAGAATCAACAAAGTTCTGGAATGAATTAATCAAATCTATCACCTCATCTAATGAACAATTATTTGAAACAGGTTTGGCAACACGAATGGCACCAACACCTGTCATAACTTTATTCCAACAAGACAAAGCCCATACAAATTTTTTCTTGGCATCATTGGTATTGACTAAAGAGCAGCGCACGCTCCTCGGTGGTACTATTGTCAATTGGGCATTAGAACAGCAACTGGAAAGAGCATTGTCGTTTGCCATCCATCAGAAATGGGAAGATTTCAGAAAAGAAATCTCACATACGCCACATTCCAACTGGATACCCTGCGAACATATTCCTTGGCTCATTCTAGAATTAGAAATGAACGTAACCATTCGAGAAACTCAAATCAACGTCGCACGGCATATGATACAACCAAATTTGACTACGGACGACTCGACCACACAAAGCATAGTCATGCAACTGAATATGGGTGAAGGGAAAACATCTGTCATTTTACCGATGTTAGCTGTTAGTTCATGTTCGTCTCCTTCGAGCTTGATTCGCATCGTAGTACTAAAATCATTATTTCCGACAAATCATCAGTCATTACGATACAAACTGGGTGGCCTATTGAATCGGCGTATTTTTCCATTTGCATGCCGTCGTGATATGAATTTCAATCATAAACAAATTAATCGAATCTTCGCGCGTTTTAGACAAGGATTACAAAACTATGATGTAATACTGACTTCTCCTGAGGATATTCTCTCGTTTGACTTGCTAACGATTGACAAATGTCGACAAAATGACTTTGATATCGGCCGTGCCATGTTAAGAACTCAACTGTGGTTAAAACGATATGCTCGTGATGTTTTAGACGAATCCGATGATATTTTACATGTCAAATATCAATTAATTTATACTGTTGGTGGACAACAGCAGGTTGATGCAGGTGCAGAGCGATGGAAAACCATTCAATCAATACTTGAATTAGTTAAAAAATATGCTGCCGATATTTCCAAACTTTTCGCTGAACACGTTTGTTATCGACCATCTAAACTTAAAAGTGTTTTTCCACAATTTCATTTACAATCAGACGAACCATTTCCGGTATTATGTGAGAAAATCGTCAATGATTGGCTCAATCAAAGATCATATCGTCAAGTGGACAAGCAAATAATTTGGTCATTTATTCTAGAAACAAAATTCTCAGTCGATGATCTACAAAAGAAATTTCCACAGAACGATATTCAGTTGTTTCTTATTGTTCGTGGTTTGTTATCATCAGGAGTTCTCTTCGTTGCTTTGAAGAAGCGATATCGGGTTAACTATGGTGTCAATCCAAATCCTTCTTTTAATCGATTAATAGCTGTACCATTTCGTGCCAAGGATGTAGCCGCTGATCGAACCGAATTCGGTCATCCAGACATAGCACTAGTCCTAACACATCTCACATATTACTATTCTGGCTTAAAGGATTCACAAATGATTCAGTGTTTCAATCGCTTAATTGAAGCAGAAAGTGATCCGGCATCGATTTATGATCAGTGGATTTTCTATGAAAATCGAGATGACATACCAACTAATATTCAACAATGGAGAGGAGTAAATCTCAAAGATTATGAACAAACATACTGTTATCTCTTTCCAACATTCCGCCACAATATGTTGGTGATTAATTATTTTCTTAATTATTTTATATTTCCACGAGAAGCAAAACAATTTCCTCATAAATTAGTCTCATCTGCTTGGGATATAGCTTCGTCTTTAAGAACGAAAGTCATCACTGGATTTAGTGGCACTAACGATACACAACTGTTATTGCCTGTTTACATTCGTCAACTTGATTTACCTGAACTTCAAAATACAGATGCAATTGTTGTGAACAATTTACTAAAATCTGAAAATGAAAGTTATCAATCTTTACCGATCGACACCACTTCGGAGAATATCTTACAGGAAATTATTCAATACAGACCAAGTATTCAAGTCATTTTGGATGTTGGTGCACTGTTCATTGATGGAACCAATCAAGAGATCGCCATGAAATGGTTAAATCTCTCAGATAAAGCTAAGATAGATTATGCTGTTTATTTCGATTCGGATTCTATTTCTGCTTGTGATCGTCAGTCTCACCATCATCTATTTGCCACCTCTCCAGCCAATGAACGACTAGATCGCTGCGTCTTTTATTTAGACGAAATTCATACTCGAGGAACTGATTTTAAATTTCCTCATGGATTTCACGCGGCATTAACATTAGGAAATGGTTTGACAAAAGATCGCTGTGTTCAAGCAGCAATGAGGATGAGAAAACTAGGAAGTGGCCATTCATTAACATTTTGGAGTTCATATGAAGTTCATCAACAAATCATTCGATTGAAGAAACAATCATTTCATGTCAACGTCACCGATATTCTTCATTGGGTCTATGAGAACACTCAACAAACAACTTGGGATGGACTTCATCATTGGGCTGCAAAAAGTTTAAGTTTTCAACGAAAACTTGCTGCATTTCGTCATATTCAATGGAATAACGATCAACAATCTTTTACTGATAGATTGATGGAAAACTTAGCTAGAGAATGTTTGGAACCTGAAGTCATTGATTTGATACAGATGTATGGTGCTTCGAAAGTCTCACAAACGTTATTTGAGATACATTCAGCGCGATATCAACGCACTGATTATCAAATATCGATTGACATTCAGGAAGCAGTATTGAAACGATTACGAGAGTATGGTGGAACGAAACAACGTCTATCACAGTTGTTAGAAGAAGAACAACAACGAGAATTAGAGCAAGAATTAGAAGAAGAACGGCAATTGGCACGACCTCCATCTGTCAAACCCTGTGTACCTGTACTACATGATGACATAAAAAGATTATGTGATACGAATAATGACATGATGAATCTAGCACAACTACCGGATGTATTTCGCCCGTTGGCATATGCCTTTAATGGCACGACCATTGATACGACGTGTCAATGCAATAGTTGGCAATCAAATATGTGGATTTCTACTGAGTTTCAACGTGTCATTGCAACAAAAGGAGAATCGTTAAATCCATTTCTACGTCCTCCAAGATGGATTATCATCTATCGAAATCAACATCTGATTTTTCTGAGTGCTTTAGAGGCTAACTGGTTATTAGGTCGTTTGAATTCCGTTTATCAGCAGCAACCGTTCAACAGTGAATGGATTACCACATTACGATTATTACTTCCTCGTACAAAGCGAATTCAATCAATCTTTGCCAATAATCGAGCACTTACTATTCCCCCAGCTATTCGACTTCGCACTGATGTTCCTTTCCCCCTAGCACTAGAGTGGTTAGCTCAATTATTCATATTTAATGGCACTGTCTATTTTGAAACAATTGAGGAGCAAACGGTTTATTGCCAATGTTTAGGTTTATGTCCTAAACCTCGAACACTTCAAGAAGAAGAAGCTTTCGAACAGGGTTGGATTGCTGCCGATGGATTCGTAAGCGAGCCAGAATACCGTCGCCTGTTGCAAATTCACGGGGCTCGATTCGACTTCGACCCACTGACATTCGTGAAGCAAGTGATTGAAAATCGAACTAATGTGCATGCAACCATATCATCCCATGTTGGTAGCATTATTCTTAATTCGTGCAAACTGCTTTAAGCATTCTCGGACAGTATGAATGATAAAGACATTCAGCAAAAACACTAACATACTTTTTCCCCATATTAAACTGATCCTTCCCATGTAGATATTTTAAGGGAAGTAAACTCGTTTTTAATGCGTTTCTACTGCAGGTGAAACGCTGCAACTGAAGCAAGTCTGACTGCAGTTAAAATGTGGTTAAACGCGCTTTATTCACACCCGTCCAAATACACTAGGAGAAAAGTGTCCGCTGTCGGTTTCGAGGCGAATCGCGTCTTGCCGCGTTTCTTGAAGGCGTTGAAGGAGTAGAAATACAGCTTTTTTGTATTTATGTGTCCTCATGTTGAGCTATAGAGACAAATTAAACTATCAATTTTGTAGAGCTTTTGAAACTCTATCTTATTAGTATATTGAAAAAAATTCTACAACAAAACCCTGTAGCATAAAATGAGAATGACTTTTTTCAAATTTCCAAGAAACGCTTTTTTTTACCGTAAGTTTTCGTTTTCTTGAAATATTCATGTAACTCAGCCAAGTATTATTTTTTTGGGAGCAAATTTCTGTTTGTTGATTTGGATAAAGGACCTGGGAGGATAAGGTCGTTTTTCGGCCCCCTCAGAATTGAATAATTATTATCAGGTATGAATGAGGGATCGCTCCTGAGCACTTTTTGGAACTTTATTCTCTCAAAAACCACATTCACGATTTTTGCACCCGGGGTCCCCCACGGGTATCATCAAAAAAAGTGTTCAGCTTTCACTACTCAAAACCACATGTCATTGCAGATTCAAGGGTGCTGATTGGGTGTTTCCACCGGGTTCCTACTCGTATAAAAATCGATTAACATAGTCGACATGGGCACCGGTGAGATTGACTTGAATGATATATTGATAGAGAATAATCGAAGAAGTTTATCTATCAATCTGTGGTTTTGAATTCCTAACAAAGACCGCCACAGGGTACTTTTTTCGCCCTGTCCTGCCCTGCAGGGCAAAGACACCATTTTTCCTTTCATGTATTGCAAAGTGAAAGATTCAGCAGCTACCCCTATTTGTTTCTTTTTGTGAAACACGATTGTTAAAAAATGTTGAAGTGTATTACGAGAAAGGCAGACCCCTATTGCCCCCACCAGAGACCGTCGCAGGGCACTTTGTTCGCCCTGTCCTGCCCTACTCTGCCCTGTGCGCTCGAAAAAGTTCTTGCGCTGCAGAGCAGGGCAGGGCAAAGACACTGTTTATTCTTTTCTTCAGACCAATTGAGGGGGCCGAGAAGAAATCCCAGGTATTTCCTTTTTCTCAGCATACGAGATGATTCATGCATTTCAAATGGAATAACAATTCACTTTCATTATCAAAAAGAGTTCATGCGGTAACCGTACCAATGTTACATAGAAATAGGAGAGAAACGATAAAATGCAATCAATGTTTACGAAATATCAGTTCATTCTTTGAAATGATAGTATTGACAAAATATTGTCAAGTTGATCAGGATTCAGATTCGTTCGTCGGTCATTTACAATCAAACCAGCGTTCGAAAACTGATGTTCCACTCCTGTAGAAGTAGCGGGCATGGAATGTAGAAAAACAAAGATACACAATTGAAACATGAACGTTTTATTGTGTCTAGCCCGCCAATTGATCAATGGCGGATTGAGAACAAGAAATTGTTGCGTATGGAGAAACAAATCGAGATTAGACAAGATAGACTTTTTGAAGGTTGGAGAAATCAATAAAGCAATTTCATATTATCAGTTATTCGTACTTATA